GCATAAAGATCCACAAGAACACGCCATCTGAAACTGCAGTGGAGATCCGAAATATGGCAATACATTTGGGGAAAATGAATGGTTTGTGCTTTCTCATTGTCACTGCCTGCTGTTATTTTAAATGTCTGCTTTACGTCAAAACAAAGATGCAAGTTCACTTGCATAGAATCAGTGATAACCTGCAAGATAAATTGAATTTAGAATAGAGCCTAGTAATTGACTAGTGGAGTTAATGTCACAGTTATTGTCCTTCCCCTATCCAGCTGTATAGCATTGGTCACTTCAAGTACATGTAGTAACTGTAAGTGTGTTGAAATACTTTCAAATTGGTTTATTGTTGTCTGTTAGGACTTATGACTTGACTATTGAATTTGACTTACTTGACTTTTGAAAAGGGGCCCTCTTGAAGTGGTTTAGTGAAAACGATTTCTGTATGCACGTGAGTTGCGAGTTTATTGGGAAATTATCTAGATATACTAGGACACAAACTATCTTGTTTTGACAAAACAAAATGCATCTTCTTACAAACAGAAGGACACAGACGTTAATCGTAATATTGATTTGAGTTGTGTGATGTGAATCAGCACTATTGTTTAGATTATTAATTCCACCATCTTCTTTTATACGGATCGTACATCGTATGTTAGCCAATCCGAAACGAACACTCATAGGACAAAACACATTGCCCTCGATTCATCTAACAGCAAGTTAGCATGTGGTGACTTTACTGGCCGTAAAGTCGTGATGTATGGGCAGGTTAACCGACACCATGTCATGTTGATATTGAGCCTAAACCGTATATTGGTAACTTTTCAAGGTAATTTCTTGTTGGTAATGGTATTTTCAAATGGTAAATAATTAGTTGTTTATTTCTTTCCTCAGCTGAAATTCGACGAGAACGCCTGATACAGATAGTAGACAAAGTACCCACTGATGTAACTGAACTCGCCAAGAAGTATGATACATGCAACTACCTTCCTACATTGCTCAAGCTGTTCTGTATCTGTGTGCAAGTCTCCGCCATTGTGTTCGTTATACTTGTTCGACTGATGTGTGTTTTTATGGATGTTTGGTTTTCAACTTCTGCCTTCTTGAAGTCATGTGCAACAACTGTAGTTGTGTGTGGACTAGTTAATCTTGTGTTAGAAATGTACTTGATTATTTCAAATAATTCCATTTGGGATGATGTGGAGTCGAAACTTGACAAATTTGTAAATGCAATCACGTTTGTCACCCGCATGGATGACGATGATGATTTCCGAGTTGAAGTGCGTTCATTACATTGTACAATTCAACGCAAGATCCATGCTGGGGAGTATATGAAATGTATCAACGGTGAGTTTATATTGATTGCAGTAACATTGATCCTCGATGTCTGCCTTTTTCTGCATTGCAGACAAGGAGAGGCTACGGAAACCCCAGTCTTGAATTTCAAGACATCCGAAGACGCTGCCAAATCTCTGGCAGTCTACACCAATAACCATCATATGGTTGGACTCGGTGGACTGATGTTTGCCGTTCTCTCTTTACCAATATCACTGTTTCTCCTGCAATCCTTGAGTTCAACAGTTCGTGGCCTTAAGAAATCAAAAGTAGCTGAGGCTATGGAGGATCTTGGGGAGGATTTCAGACATCGCTTTCACAAACTTCTCGTTCAAGCTGATTATAATTCGACTCCAGCTGAAACATAGATACCGAGGCTATATTAAAAACGGAAATACTGACCAGCGTGAAATGCATTGTCAATGCATTAAAACAGCATATGTTTTATACCAATTAGCTAGTCGGAGAGGGGGGATCGGAATGGCCGAAATCGTCCCATATGCACCATGCTTGCCTAAAGACATCAAATCGAGTGTCACTAATTATATGGCTAGATCACATTGTCAGACTCTACACAGTGAGACGCTGTTTGTCCAGACAAACTTTCAGGTGAAAACGACTGAATTAACAAATGACCGGATAAACAAATCATGAGTACATTGTAACTGTATTAGGACGTCCCCACCAGGAATCAGGCTGATTACGATGTGTCCAGACTGTTTCACTGTGTAGTGTAATCCACAGCCCTGAATGTTCATCCTACTTCAATCATGTTCTCCTTATTTGTTCATGTTTATCCTACAATTGGCAATTGACTCTGCTATTTGTAGATATTTCTTATTATTATTAAATGGGTTAAATCGCATTTATTTAGAAATATTAAACTGTAATAACCTCATGTCTTATTACTTTCAGTATCCATATACATACTATATCGACCGCCTCTGTAGTCTGGTAATGGAGCGTGCGGCCAGAGGGCGGAAGGTTCGGGGTTCGATTACTCAAAGACGTTAAAAGTTGGTACTTGTTGCATTGTTACCCTGCTTGGCGCTTGGCATTGAGGGGCTAAAAGAAGTACTGGTTGGCTCGGAGTTAATGGGCTGTTCATGTTAAACTGCGGTATGGTGTCTCGTTGGGCAAGAACTAAAGAATTTGTATACGTTCGTTTCAACTAGTACAAGCAGACACACACACACACACACACACACACACACACACACACACACACACACACACACACACACACACACACACACACACACACACACACACACACACACACACACACACACCTGCATGCAAGTCGCTATATGAGTGCACTAATCATGAACGTAACGTTAAACCCAATTTCCACCCCCCTCACCAACATACTATGTCACGGAGACTGTGTCGATACTAAGGAAGATGGGGTCAAGAGTATGTATTGTCCATCGGTGTTATCGCCGTGCTTCAACATTATAGCAGTTCCCAGTGTGTCGGCTTGTGGCTGAGAGTCGCACAGGCCAAACTGCTGTGACGACTCGATGCTCACTCATACGGTGTTGACACACCAAAGATCATATTCTGAGATTCGACCTAACGACCACCATATCCTGGCACAGCTAACGGACGAAACGCAGTGAGACGCCATATCAATCGGGCCACCTCCGCGGTAACTGCTTCTGTTAACTTTGCATTTAAATTCTGCCAGAGGTTAAATGTTACATTTTCGATATCTCTAAACTGCATTTCAGAAATAGTCAGGTGAGCTACAGGACATTGTGGCCCACGTTTCCTGACTTACACTGTGCTTAGCATGACTAACACATCAAACACAACTGACAAACACAGGAAATGGGCATTTAGATCATGTTGACATACACAGGGTAATAGAAACTAGAACAGATGTTCGTGGTGAAATAATAATGGGTTATGATGAACACTGAAAAATAGCATACAGCAGTCGGATATCTCATAAAATTTACCTTTTTATAAAATCTTTGTCCAAAAATATTACAGCCTCTTATCTTTGGAGCATACTGAAGCGGTGGGGCAGCCTAGTGCTTAAAGCGTTCGCTTGTCATGCCGAAGACCTGGGTTCGATTCTCTACATGGGTACAATTTATTGTATCCCCTCAATGATATTCCGGGAATATTGCTAAAAGCAGCCAAAATCCATACTCACTCACTGACTCACTTGTAGCTTACGTTACATACGTGTAGGTTTTAAAGACAATCGCACATGTATATACAAAACGTATATGCGTTGTGTAAAATTATTTTCCCCCTGACAGGGGCACATGAGTCCATCTATATTGAAGTAATTAATATCAACTAGTGTTTTAATTCCTTGACTGTGTTTTGATTATTAATATTGGTTAATATTTCGTACAAACACTCGTGACCAAAGTGATGGCATAAATCCTGGTGGGAATCATGCAGGAAGCAAAAGCACTGTACGTCCCCATGATCCCCAGTTTGGTTGTCTAGCTTTGGTTATTAGTTGTCTATAGCCATGTTTTAATTGATAAGACTTAATCTATGTATACCTATATGGTTTTTAAAAATTATGATCTGGTTTGTTTTATTTAAAACTATCTTACTATTTTACTGTCCTTTGTTGACAGATATTTTACAACTAATACCTTGTTCCCATCGCTATTTGGCTGAAATATTGCCGATGCGATGTACAATTTAACTCACTCATTCACTCACTATATGTGAGTTACAAGAGTGTAGTGCATCACATTTGGTGACACAAATTCCACAACGACGCTATGAAAGTGTAGTGTTACATAACACACAACAACCAATGCTGAGAACGTGAAAGTACTTCTTTCATTGCTGCATGTGAATGCAATCCACGTGAATGCTTTGTATAAATCCACTGTGGCCAACCCGCCATCTAGTGAAATATAACGGAGAAATTACAAAGCGTGTATCGAGAACGGGATCTAAAGAACAAAGGACACACAGGGAGCAACTGGGGCAACAAAAAGGCGCAATCGATTGTACCTGCTACATTCAATTCTTCATTGTATGAAAGGCCATAGGCCCATATACAACGGAGTTACATAACATATTTTATAAGATACAAAGTCAAGGTATCAATTCACTTCGTAACAAAAACGCATGATGTATGTACAAAGCCAGCTGATTTTGTGTTAGAAGATCCTTGCAGGACAGTAATGAAGACAATGTTATAGCATTAAAATGAGTTAATGACCACTGCGGTAAGTACTTGTTTCTTAGATTTTCTTAAAAAGGGCAAATAAACATAAAATGGAATTCATCTTCGACAACACTGTCACAGAATGGGCATAACCTTAGGGATTTCTCAATAGACGAAAATCTCCCTGTGTTAATTTTTTGATCATTCAGGCCAAGTCTAAAACGAATAATGATGCTACGAAAATGCCTGTACCATAAGTGTGATAAGTAAGATTCTGGTTTAAGCAATGACTTGAACTGGCGATAAGTACCACATCTTGAAATTTGGTTGGTCGGTAGAAGGTTTGTTTACACAGTTTGATTGCCTGTGCTCAACTCATTAGGCGAGCTAGTTTAGCGATAAATAAAAAGTTCAATTATGTAGGGTTCTGGAAATGCTCATAAAAACGAAAGTTCATGTTTTATATAAAAGTCTGTGATGCCCATCGGCTTTAAATGTATAACTGATGGGTCTATCTTTGGCGTGGGCTTTCCCAGATTGCACCACAGCCTGTAATGTACGACGCTGGTGAGCTATTGTTAGCGTGACGTCAGCGTTGCACATCCGTGCCTGGGGTAGAATCGGACTTTCTTTATCATCACTCAAGATATCGATGCACAGCTGACAGAGATAAGGTGGGTTACTCAACATACACTTTGTTAAATATGTGTCGCCTGATACACATCAAGCCTCAGTTATGGAGAGGACTCACCGACACAAGCACCACACTCTGGTTTTATTTGGTCAGATATCAGCATGATTCGGATTCACACACACACACACATGTGGCCAAGTCATGTTTTAAGTATTTGTACATATAAGTTAAATATTTTAGATGTTTCATTTTAGCTTTAAACTTTACATACAGTACCCTAAAAACAAACCTTTAGAGTTATACAAGCCCTCAATACAATAAGCCTATCCCTGCACCCTGCATTTAACAATAGCCACCTCACTGGGTCAGGCCAGGTTCTGACCCATGCGTATGCACACTGCACAAGTTTCTTTTGTCTGTCTGCTTTAGTGTCTCTGGTCAGCTTACTATCTATTGTGTATGTAGTTTTAAAGGTTTCTGTCTGGCATATCCTGTTGGCAGTTGTACACATTTTTTCAAGGAGGTCACTTGGATTGATATTTGATCGTTTTCCTTAATATCAGCCCCTTGCTGATTGTGGATGTGGAATATTGGGCATTTATGGAACCCGATATTTGTGTATTGAGGATTTCATTATCCAGGTTAGTTTATGTGTAGTATTTCATATACTGTATATATGGTCTTGTACATATTGTATTTCTTAAGAGGTGTTAGATTAATGCATCAGTGTATAATTAAACTTAGCTGGTAGCTAAAGTAAAGTAGGTATTTCAACTATCATTACAGTTGGTTGTATGTAGAATTTATTTTATTGCAATCTAAAATGTATCATATTGCATCTTTACAGTATGTTATCTTCTTAAATACTGAATTACTAGTATACACTTTACTAAACTAAATTATTATTTAAACATGTTCTAAAACCTATAACTGTCTGAACGTGGTATGAAATAAGAACGTATGTATGGGAGGTCGGTTGTTTTTATATCTTATTTTATATGGCCATTATTAGTATTGTCAAGGTTGTATTTCAACTTGTTATAGAATGATGTGACGGTAAACAACTTTGAACGTTGCTGCGAACCACTGAGTTAAGCTCATTGCCACACAGTGGTAAGTTGGGAACATAATTATATATATGGTTCAAACTAATAACTAGTATATTGTTATCCTTCTAAATTAATGTTTTGTGTGAATGTAATGTATTCACAAAGTATTTACAAATGGCAATTTTATATAGTTATTCAGAAATAGTTTAGATCCTGCTATTTATATTTAAGAATTTATTCATGCTAGTGCTAATGTGCTAGCTGATAAGATGAAGGCATGTAATTGTATTTAATCTCCATGAAGGCAATATTATTATGTTCTTCTACAAAAATACTTATGATGTTTGCTTTATATTTTATATTTTCAGGGTTTACTATGATTATTATTATCTGCACTCTGAATAAAGATGGTTGTCATGTGAACTGACGAGTAGCGTTGTGTTGTGTGTGTCCCACCAACATCCACCCCATAACCGCTACAACACAAACACACACACACACACACACACACACACAACCACACACACACACACACACACACACACACACACACACACACACACACACACACACACACACACACACACACACACACACACACACACACACACACACACAAACACACACACACAACCACACACACACACATTACTCATACACACGCTCTAAAGTACAATAATCATGAACGCGACGTTAAACCCCAATTTCTCCTCAGGTTCATAATCAACCTAAGTTAATAAACTCCAAGCCTGTCTTGACCACACTATTTATACATTTTGAAGATTGGTCGGTAGAAGGTTTGTTTACACAGATTGATTGCCTGTGCTCAACTCATTAGGCGAGCTAGTTTAGCTATAAATAAAAAGTTCAATTATTTAGGGTTCTGGAAATGGCCATAAAAACGAAAGTTCATGTTTTATATAAAAGTCTGTGATGCCCATCGGCTTTAAATGTATAACTGATTGGTCTATCTTTAGCGTGGGCTTTCCCAGATTGCACCACAGCCTGTAATGTACGACGCTGGTGAGCTATTGTTAGCGTGACGTCAGCGTTGCACATCCGTGCCTGGGGTAGAATCGGACTTTCTTTATCATCACTCAAGATATCGATGCACAGCTGACAGAGATAAGGTGGGTTACTCAACACTCACTATCAAATAGTGATTATACCTATAACTACGTTATAGCTAAACGTTGAAACGGTCGTTTCATTTGGTATCTGCAAATGCTTATGCAATTGTCTCGCAGTGCAGTGTTGTAAGTGTAAGTGTAAGCAGGTCATGATAGAAGTTGTCCGATAGTATGAAAGCAAACTTTTACCGATTATAACCAACCATGATTGATCTCTGATTTGGACAATTCCCCCATCATGTTCGATATTAGCCAAGGGGTCGCGTATATTTTGTTATTTTGTCATGGTAGAATGACAATAAACTAAACGGCATTGTTATAGAATCTACGCTGGAAACATCTAATTCAAAGCAGGTGTATCTTGACAACATATTTCACACTCAGAATATTCACTGCCGCATGGTACGAAACGTTTTCTGCTAGATATGCCCTAAAGCGTCAACTCACTTTCAACATCTAATCTTACAGCACCATGGACAGAGGCTCCGTCCAGAACCTAGCTGCTGAAATACTGCGATGCATTCAGGATGAGGAACGGAAGAAGCAGGAGGTGATGGACGCTCTGAAGCACCTAGCAGATGAACTGGATGTCAAGCAACGAGACATGAACATCGCCAAGACTGCCTTCGCATCCGGTGGGATCGCAGCTACAGGCTTAACTGTAGCAGGAATAGCAGCGGCCCCCTTCACCTTTGGAGCATCCCTAGGGATGACCATCGCGGGCGTTGCTCTTGGTGTGTCTAGTGGTCTTGGTGGACTGGCGACAACCATTGCTGACAAGATCATCAACAGCAAGACGATGACAGAAGCTCAAGCCAAGATTGACTATCAGAAAACTGTGACAGACTTGGCCAGCCTCCTTAAGAGTGTGAATTCCAATAACAGCCATGAACTTCGCAATAGGATCACTGAAGTAATCACCTTTTAAATATCTTGATGTTTTTCTGTCAGTTTATGTTTCTTTTTAGTTATAGACTCTTCATTGTAACCTCTCTTCAACCACTTAATCATGTGTCTGTTAGTGCAGCAAGATTATAGTTTCAGAAATGAGATGACAACGTAGAACATACATGGATCAAACTGTGAAGAATTTTGAAGGAGTTTAATGTAACCTCTTGACTAAATGGGAACTAATATATATCATACAAGATCAGAAGTCGCTAAGTAGAGCAACATGCTTTCAACTACAGGAAATCAACAGCCTGGGAGAAAGTGAGAGTCGGGTGACCCTGGAACTGATCCTCAGTGGGCTGAAGACAGCAGCAGAGGCGGGCGGATCTGCTGCCAGGACAACAGCTGTTGCAGGGGCAGTCGCAGCTCGGACCACGTTGGCAGTGGGGAAGACAATGATGGACGTGATGGAGACGGGAGCCAAGGCTATGAAGATCGGAGGGGTTGTGCTGTCGGTGTTGACTGTGCCACTGGATCTGCACACTATGATCTCCAACAGCATAAAGATCCATAAGAAGACGCCGTCGGAAACTGCAGAGGAGATCCGAAATATGGCAACACATTTAGAGAAACTAAATGGTTGGTGCTACGTCAGGTTCACTGCCTGCTGCTAAAGAAATGTCTTATTTATGTCCAAACAAACATGCACGTTCAATTGCATAGAATCAGTGATAACCAACAAGATAGATGGGTTGAGTATTGAATAAAGAATATGAACGGGTAATTTACCAGGGGAGTTAATATCACAGTTATTGTCCTTCCTCTGCCCTGAGTCAAATTCAATAGTTAAGTCTAAAATCCTAACAGACAACCATAAACTATTTTGAAAATAATTTACAATTTAGAGTAACTAGATGTACTTGAAGTGACCAGTGCTGGTCACTTCAAGTACATCTAGTTACTCTAAATTGTAGGAGTTTAGACTTAACTATTGAATTTGACTCACTTGAGTTTTGAAAAGAGGGCCCCTCTGAAGTATTTTAGTGAAAACGATATCTGCATGCACGTGTGCTGTGTGTTTTAGGTTATTGAAATATTATCTACATGTACAATGACGCTTTCTTTCTTGTTAGGACAGAACAAAATGTCGCTTTTTTTAAAACAGAAGCACACAGACGTTAATCGTGAATCAGCACTTAAGCCACTTTTAATTAGATTATTTATTTCACCTTCTTTTTGACACAGATCAAGGACACAAAGCGTCGTATTTTATTGATGAAACAGCAAGTTAGCATGTGGTGACTAAACTCGGTGTAAAGTCGTAATGTCTAATCAGGTTACCCAACACCATGTCATGTTCACATTGAGCCTGAAAACACTAGAAAAGGTAATTTCTTGTTGATCATCAAATGGTAAATAATTATCTTTTTATTTCTATCCTCAGCTAAAATTCGCCGACAACGCGTGATACAGATAGTAGAAAAAGTACCTGCTGACGTAACTGAACTTGCCAGGAAGTATGATACGTCCAACTGCCTTCCTACATTGCTCAAGCTGTTGTGTATCTGTGTGCAGGTCTCCGCCATTGTGTTCGTTATAATACTTCGACTGATGTGTGTTTTCGTGGATGTTTGGTTTTCAACCTCTGCCCTCTTGAAATTATTCACAGCAACTGTAGTTTTGTGTGGACTAGTTATTCTTGTGTTAGAAATGTACTTGATTATTTCAGATAACTCCATTTGGGATGATGTGGGGTCGAAACTTGACAAATTTGTGAATTCAATCAAGTATGTCACCCGCATGGATGAAAATGAGTCTCTTCGAGCTGAAGTGCGTTCTCTTCATTGTACAATTCAACACAAGATCCATGCTGGGGAGTATATGAAATCTAGCAACAGTGAATTTATATTGATTGCGGTAACATTGATTCTAAATGTCGCCCTGTTTCTGCATTGCTGGCATGAAGAGGCTACAGAAACTGCAGTCTTGAATGTAGAAGCATCTGCCCATTCTCTGGCAGTCTACACCAATAACCATTCTCTGGCAGTCTACACCAATAACCATCATATGGTTGGACTCGGTGGACTGATGTTTGGTGTTCTCTCTTTACCAATATCACTGTTTCTCCTGCAATCCTTGAGTTCAACAGTTCGTGGCCTTAAGAAATCAAAAGTGGCTGAGGCTTTGAAGAATCTTGGGGAGGATTCAGATATCGTTTTCACGAACTTCTCGTCGGAGAGGGATGGTTGGATCATAGGTGAAATCCTCCCATATGTACCATGCTTGCCTAAACTAGACATCATATCGAGTGTCACCCATTTAACAGCTAGATCACATCGTCAGACTCTACACAGTGAGACGTTCTTTGTCCAGACAGACCTTCAGGTGAAATCGTCTGGATAAACAAATCATGAGTTTGTTGGGGACATCCCCACCAGGAATCAAGCTGTTTAAGATGTGTCCCACAGACTGTTTCATTGTGTAATCCCCACCCCTTAATGTTCATCCTACTTCAATCATGTTCTCCTCATTTGTTCCTGTTTTATCCTACAATGGATTCTGCTGATAGCAGATATTGGTATTATTATGGAATGGATTATGTCGCTTTTATTTAAGAAATAAACGAAGAATGGGGGTTGTTCATCGTACAATAAAACATTGCAGGGAGAATAAACCATGAGATGCGAAGTTCCGAGTGGTTTATTCTCACTGCAGTTTTTTTTTATTTAACGGTAAACAACGACCACGAGTCCTTTATTTTTATATGAGATATTAACATTATGTACATAACTATCATAAGTTTTGTCTTTCCCGCATATTCTTACAATCCCCACGTCCATTATCTGTACCTTTTCTCCTTATAGTGATTGTCATACTGCTGGTACTTCTTTGATGTGATCTTTTAGCCACTGCGTTTATCTGTGCTGCCCAGTCCAATTTACGACGTCATTAGGTTGCGAGTGCATGATAATGATGATGGGTTATTCAGTGTATACAGATAACGCTGAATAATAATATACAGCAGTCGGATATTACACTTAATTTATCTTTGTAACACACAAGTTTGTTTTGAGCTTTTTTATAGCATACTTAAAGGGGCACTGATCTAAAGCAATTCCCCGGGACTGGTTGTTGCCTTTGTTATTGTTTATTCGTGAGTACCCGTGAGTACCCGGATGATATAGCAGAAATCTAGACAAGTACTCGAACTGTGCTGCGCCATTCGTAAGCGCATTTTTGTCGCCTTTATTGATAGGGTAAGAGCGTATTGTCATATTGATCAACAAACTGAAATACGGTTTAGTCTTGGAAATAATAACGACATGTTGATTTTTGCAAAGGTGATGGTGACAAAATTTTGATAAGTCACTTTCTTGGTATTGTGCGATTTTCGTTTACACTATTTTGAAAATATTTCACCTGTGCATTGCTTTTTTGTGTATATTTTATAGTCAAAATGTGTAACAATTTCACTTAGGCAATTTATTAAACGCCTAAATATTCAGTTATTTTACAAACTGACTGAACAATCTGTCCCGTTCTGTTATTATGATCACGAATTCCAAACATTTTTATACTTTACTTTCATCACCCAGTGACTGAAAATGATAGGATTAAAAGCAATCGAAATTCAAAGAACATTTCTATAGTTTTGGTCTTGTCCTACCATAATTAGTCTATTGATGTTTTAAGCCCATTTCAACCTCTTAATAATTGTTAAACAATCAGTTAAATAAATGGACAGATGTTTCAGTCAATTTGGAAGTTACTGAAATATTCAGACATTTTATAGAATCACATTTTCACATTGACTGTAACAAATACAAGCCTCCAACGAAAAGGCTTGTGAAAACAGCGTCTGTCTCCCATCGAAGAACTTCCCAACGAAAACGTTGAGGAGCAAATATGATTCTATTCAATGCAATGGCAAATGATTAAAAACATATGCAAATATCATAATTACAACCTACCAATGTTAAATGCATAAATTTAGGCAGCTACCTTGTTTGAGGAATGTATCCGTGAATATCCACATTAAGGAACAATATCCCATACGTCTGGAACTGTACAAATAACTTTATTCGATGTCACGTGTCTGTGTTACAATCAAATATTTTAAATATATATAGCTTTTCGGGATATTATAACCGGTGTTCGTTTCCCAACTGATCACTTAGTTTGTTTGCAGTGTTTCATATAGATGTCAAGTCTCAAAGGCCAGCTGAGACAGCCCACGTGACAACTATTTTCATAATGTCCATGGTTCTTAAAAAAACATAGCGTTAGATAACAATGAACAATCAATAAACGTTTTATCGGCTAATCCTTTGAATTAAGTATGTTGTTTTTGCATCGTCGCTTCACGCCCAGATATGGGGGTATTCCGTCTGCTTTCGTAAACCTAGACATGTAAACACTTACTATTAACAGATCCACTGTGCAAAATAACTGTGATTATTCAATCAACGTATTTTCTGCTGATCCTTAAATGGGAAGGAATGATCAGTTGATTTACCAAAAAAGTAAACCATCTCATAACTCCTCTTGCTGGGCTGCCACGTGCATATTACATAAGCTATATTTCACCCCACTTCAGACCGGGATACAGATTAAATAATTACCAAATGCCAAATGGGAACATTTGTCTGGTAATCCGAGTGGTGCTACCACTAATTATACCTGTAATAAATTAATTAACTAAGCTTCCAGTCAATGACAACACATATACAGGCGTAAGGTTATACCAGGAAACATGCGTGACAACAAGAGCGTAGCAATCGTATTACCCAGGCAATCCGGAAATGCTTCCACATCAGGGATACGTTTTATTATCATTAAACTATAACCATCAGGGGTATTTCCAAAATAAGGACATCCGATGAGCTTTTGTATGTTTGTGTAGGCTCAAGAAATTGATTAACATGCACCCTATTTCGACATCTTCATACATCACGGGTATCCAATCAGTGTTCAAAATGCGTAAAAAAATATTGTCTCGAAGTATATTTACGCTGTCCTTACAGACCGCAGCCCAGTCTCTTGTCATGCAAAGTTGCGAGCAAATCGCAGCTAGTGAGCCCTAGCGGGCAGTGTCAGACAGCCAAGGAGAAGCCAGAGATTAAAGCCCCTTTAACATAAATTTGAAGGTTTTAAAGACAATCGAACATGTATATGAGTTACAAGAGTGCAGTGCAACACCTTTGGTGACACAAATTCCACAACGGCGCAACGAACGTCCAGTGTTACAAAATACATAACAACCTATAGTACAGTTCTCCAGCTGACAGCTGATAAAGTGAAAGCACTTCGTTTCACCCGATCCCGTTAGTCGCCATGATGTACCGTTACATTGGTATTGAAACAAAATACGTTCAAGGACCTTTCATACATCCCTGTTTGCCGGTTAAACACTTGAACGTTAATGATACATTGTATATACGTCATCGATTTACGCTGTTGTGGACAGGTCATATGTTCCTTTCACATTTGACTCAAATTGTGTGAGATGGGATAATCACTCACCATAGCAGTATATGTTCTGAAAGAAAGATCCTGACAAACAATGGTAGTATATGTTCTGGACGAACGATCCCGACAAACAATAGTGGTATATGTTCTGAAAGAAAGATCCTGACAAACAATGGTGGTATATGTTCTGGACGAAAGATCCTGACAACCAATGGTGGTATATGTTCTGGACGACAGATCCCGACAAACAATGGTGGTATATGTTCTGGACGACAGATCCTGACAAACAATGGTGGTGTATGTTCTGGACGAAAGATCCCGACAAACAATGGTGGTATATGTTCTGAACGACAGATCCTGACAAACAATGGTGGTATATGTTCTGGATGAAAGATCCCGACAAACAATAGTGGTATATGTTCTGGACGAAAGATCCCGACAAACAATGGTGGTATATGTTCTGGACGAAAGATCCAACAAACAATGGTGGTATATGTTCTGGACGACAGATCCTGACAAACAATGGTGGTATATGTTCGAATTCTGAACGAAAGATCCCGACAAACAATGGCTTTCTTGTAAGCAAAACCATGTAATTCTTCTTAACCCATTTCTCTGACCAACCAGATGACTGCGTTCTTGCCGACACATATTCATCCCTTGTATTACATAAATACACAGATTACTCTGATTGCGATGGATATGGAGAATACCACACGAGTGTATTCTTCGTTCTAAAACGGGTTGTGGAGAGGATCGTTGGTTAGATACGCTTTGAAATAACGAGTTTGAATAAAATAGAATTTATTGACAGGCACGATTGCAGGGATGTGTTTCTTACACACCTTAAAATTCAAGGTGCATATGAAATAGTCAACACCATGGGGTATCCAAACTCTGACGTTGGGGGAGTAAGTGAGTGAGTATTGTTTTACGCTACTTTTAACAATTTTACAGCGGGGGACACCAGAAATGGGCTTCACAAATAGTACTCATGTGGGGAATCGAACTCAGGTCCGCTAGGATACCCCATCGTCCCCTACGAGCTTAACATTTGGTCTCATACATATATTTGATACAAGTTATCTCAGATCGGTTTCTCGCCAACAGGGGTGTCTGTTGACGGTAGTCTTGTTAACTCCAGCATTTGCAGCATACACCTTTCCATCCCGTGATATTATTAAGGTGGTGTGGTTCTAGGGTCGCGGGCCTGAGAGAAGCCGCCTCAAATGCAGATCTTGTGGGTTGTAGCAAATATTCAAACGGTCTGTAACAGTGTCGAAAAAACTGATTTGTTCAATGAAATTCTGCTCGAAACAAAATTAAGGTGGTGTCAGGTAATTTAATAAAACCCAAAACGGTATTGTCCACTTTTCATGTTGGATGCCCTGAAACGCCCTGTTTTAAATGGTCGCTCTTAAGTTGAAACGACGCGTTAGTGATTAATGTGTTCCCTCGTGGCCCTGTCGACTCTTGTTCGATTCGACACCACAGTTACATGACACGCACACACACAAATACGTGCATGCACGTCACCATGTAAGTTCAATATTATTGAACGCGACGTTAAACCCCATGTCCCCTCACCTACAAAAGGATGTTTTCCTCTTTTACAGGCATTTCAGTGAAGACATAATGATATACACGACTCTTTAAATCTGTTGTCAGAATTAGCGAGTCCGCCTTCAAAGTGCGTGAATACATACGGCAGCCTGTAAACAATCGCGTCTTGATCAGACAACCCAGTGATACTAGACCAGACACTCCAGTGACACAATAGCGTGTTTACTGATTGTGTACTAAAACTAAAAGTGATAAGTCAATTTTTTTAAACACATCTGCTGAAAGTCAGGTGAAAGGGACGCTAATAGGAGCTTGTCATATGGAAATTTGTGTACAATACAGTAGTCATGTACTAAGGGAAACATCTGTATCTTAAAACATGGGTGACTTTGTGTAAAATAGAGTAGCCATGTACACAGATGCACATGTATACTTTACAACATGAGAAACTTTATGTGAAATACAATAGTCATGTACCTAAATGTACATACTCAGCTAACAATTTCACGTTGTGACAACGTTGTGGGAACGTTAAGACATAACGTCCATACAACGTTATTCTGTGGACGCCCATTCATGTTGTCACAAGGTTGTATGCTAACGTTTTGATACGTCATATTCACGTCGTCACAATGTTGAGATAACGTCATAGGTTGTATTTTTACGTTGTGGGAACGTTGTAGTTTACGTTGTGGCAATGTTATAATATTACGTCCCTACAACGTTATTCTGTGGCCTACCATGGACGTTGTCACACCGACATGAAATAATTTGTGTTTGAAGGAGATTTGTCGAAAGTTCTTTTGACAAAAATAATTATGCTTCAGACTGGTGCAGGCATAGAACAAAATGCTTTTATACATTCTTAGGATTCATTTAAAGCCACAAAACCACCATCATGTAAATGGACCATGGAATTTAACAACTGAACTTACGTTAACATAATTCACAGCCCCGGGTTTATTTTGTGTATTCCTCAATGATCCAGCAATCCTGTTTTCCTGCTCGTGTCTCATTTTCACCCTTGCTGCAGCAAAAACGACAATGTTTCCCATTATAGCAAAGTCAAAACTAGAACTCAACTCTTTAATAAAACAACTATACATGTATAATTTTGATGACACCGGGCCCGATCGTTTATGTATGGTAGAAATTTATATGTTATTTCTCAAGTAATCATTAAGTTTCATTAAGTATAAGAGTAAACATGCAGATTGCCCGAAACGTAATATTGTGGCGTCGCGACGGAGCAATTCGCCCAATCGCAGCTGCAATGCCATATACGTGCAGCATGCAATTTTCTGAACTGCTGTGACTATTCCTGTCTCGGCAAGGTTTAAAAGGCTAGGACAATTACTGCTGACACACATATCAGAAAATTAGAAAACGGGCCGTTATGTGCCAAGTCTATCAGAAGCTAAACGCAACAACGCCATTGGCCGACTGCAAGTGGGTGAAACACATCAGCATGTGGCGCAGGCGATGGGTGTGATCAGATTGACCATCTCTAACTTGTGGAGACGTTACAACATCACCGGCAAGGTTCGTGACAGGCCATGGTCAGGACGACCTCGCGTTACAACGCCTAGCCAAGATCGTTTACATCCGGAAAGGCACCTGCGGAACCGTTTCATCACTGTCGAGAGCAGTCGGTATTCTAGCCGAGAGACCCGTGCAGCGTAACATCCTGACGCCGCATCACCTGCGTGAACGTCTGCAGTGGTGTTGTCAGAGAGTCACACGCCCTCAAGCAAGATGGAAACGGGTTCTGTTCACGTCTGCTAAGACGTGCTGATGGACGTGCCCGTGTGTACCAACGTAGTAACGAACGTTTCGCTGCGAATTGCGTTTAGCAAGTGGATCGACTGGAAGTGGAAGCGTCATGGTTGTGTGAGAGTGGATGGTGCTCTGAAAATGGTCTACGCTATTGAGATCCTGCAGCGCCACGTTGTCTCCTTCATCAACGTTTAATGGCGGCATCTTTAAGCAGGACAACGCCAGACCCCACGTCGCACGTGTGTGCACAGACTTTTTTGCGTCAGAACAACGTGCCCACGCTACCCTGGCCTGTCAGTTCGCCAGACTTGTCCCCTATTGAACATCTGTGGGACGTGGTGGATCGTCGTGTCCGTCAACGTCAACCACCGCCACAGACACTTCAGGAACTGTTT